CCCCTTGACCCGACCCGACGACGCGACTTCACCGCACAAGGCCGCCGCCGCCGTCGCCGCCACTCAGCGGCCGCCGACTTGGCGCTCCCCCAGAAACCCAGATCCACCTCCTGTTTTTCTCCAGGTAAAATCCCCTCGCCACTTCTCCTCGGCTAGTCCGTACGAAGTACGAACCCCGGCATCAAATTTTGGGATAGCGGGTGTGTGTATGTGCGTGTGTGTGTGGATTGTGGGGTTTCGCTGGCCATCGCGGTAGGGCCCGCGCCGCTCTGATTAAATAAATGCATCTTGCTTCGAGGGCTGATACTCCATACATGGATGCACGCCATGTCAGTGCTGTGCTTTCTAGCTTGACACTGGTGCATCCGCCAAGTTAAGCTACTTTTAAGACTCGTGGTGCTATGTGTGGTGAATGGCCGAAGTTGTACTCAGATTTCGCCTTTGCGTGGATGAGCATATGCTGCAATATTCAGAAAAAATGATGAAAAAAGTCGCATATCAGTCGACAACCACTCCCGGCATGGGAGCTTTTTCTGTGGATTGTTTGCCATGTTGTGTGTTAATGGTAGGTACGGTAAACGCAAACAAGGTATGACATGCACAAAAAGGTTCCATTTGTTGACTTGGGCAGTGATGCTTCCCCTCATGCCATAGTTGAATATGGTAGGAGATTTTCAAAGTACCCCACTCCTCCGAGTTGCACTGAGGGTATTCCATGCCATGTTCCTCGTTTACATCAAGATCCTAGAGGAGTCACATATACTCAAAATCCCCATTACGTTAAAACTTGGTAGCGCTGCCTCTAAATGCACTGTCTTCCCAAGAATCTAGGTTTTAGTTTGTGGTTTCCATAAATTTTCTACTTTTAGAGAGTTACGGATACGTTTGGTTCTCTCAGAGAATGCAGTGGTCCACTAAGTTCTTTTTTTGTTATGGTTATTTGAAAACATGGCTCGTACATTCTGTCCTGGAAATTTTTTTATGAAAGAAAACCAGGGCAATCATTGTACTTGTAACTAGTGTTTAGCGGTGCTAATTGACACTCATATTACTTCTCCCTTTTTTTCTTGCTTGATCTTATGTTTCTTTCTGGCTCAGCATTTCAGCATGATTGAACTTGTTCTCAACAACGATGTGCTGGAGAAGTGTATTAAAGACATCCTCTCTCAAATAAAACCGGCAGAGGATGATGTGAACAAAAGACTATCTGCAATTAAGGAGCTAGAAGTTTCCATGCAACCAGTTGCAGCCTTGAGAGGTAACTTATTACTCCTTTGGCTACCATGGGAGCCTTATCCATTATTTGAAAATGAGTCTGATATTGACAGTGAAGTTTGTGCTTTGTGCTGCACTCTGCACACTACTGAAGGGAAAGCCATTTCCTTTTGTCCATGCACTTTATAAATTTCTGAATCAGTGTTTGTAATCCGTTACAGGACGTCTGCAAAGTTGAATATATCCCCAAAGGGTTTCCATAGTTTATTGTATTCCTAAAGAACCTAGAGTAGTTTGTGTTTGAGAATAGCAAACAACCAAAGACGGTAGATGAGAAGCGGTAATCTTGTCACCTGTGAATGCACTTCATTTGGAGACTAAGTATTGCAACGGTGACTCATTGAGGCCTTATACAATGAGGTGCTTAGAGAGATGCTTAGAAAAATAAACCGGGTTTTTCTGAAGCACCGTTGCCTATTTCTACAGGAGAGACGCTTAGTTAAGCGTCTATCCTGTACAAATAAGCACCGGTGCTTAAGAAAAGCCTGGTTTATTTCTCTAAGCACCTCCCCTAAGCACCTCCCATTGTACAAGGCCTGACAGGTCCAGGTGTCTGCCACTGTGTAACTTAGTGACCTATGGCCACAGTATAGTTTATTACCCAGTATTGGACAAAATCGTATGGCAATATGTGATTTGCTAGGTTATGAGCTGCTCAAAGGACACACAATGATATTTACCAGAGGATAGATTTATTTCTCGTCACAGACTTAATTAATCAACATACAGGTCAAGAAATTTGAAATTTCTATAATGATAAGCGAAAGGTGTTTGAAGTTTCTCATGATACAGTTTAAATGTTGCTTTACCTGATTTTCTCACTTTCCTTCCAGGTGCTGCTGCAAAACCTTTTGGATCCTTTCTATCAAATCTATACTCAAAATCAGGAGATTTGGATATATCAGTCCAGCTCATGAATAGCTCAAACCTTCCTATAAACAAGAAAAAGAAGATAAGTATCTTGAAAGCAGTAAGGACAGCTTTGCAAAAGGGAGGTAATTCAATCTATTCTACAGTACATAAGCATACATAATACGTTGCCTGATCACTCTATCCTGCGAATAGCGTTAACCAGAATGATGAATTTCTAGTGTCGACCTGTGAATACTCATAACTTTTGTGGTAAAATAGTCATAATATGTTTTTGTGCACCAAGTAGTACAAAATCATGTGAGGGAACATCATTCTAACTTATTTGCTGGTTATGATTTATTCAAGAATTTCATTATTGTTCTATGGTTAGTGAATTTACTGTGGCACTTTGTTTTTTTGCCCCTGTAATGGTTTTTAGCACTCCATGCCTACTGAACATCTCATTTAAATTTGGTTGTGCTGCTTTTATTTTATTTAGGTGTTTATGGATATATGGAGTTCATTCCTCAAGCAAGAGTCCCAGTTCTTCAGTACGTGAGCAACCGCTTTGGCATTTCCTGCGATTTATCCGTTGATAACTACCCTGGTCGAATTAAATCCAAAATCTTCTACTGGATCAGTACTTTGGATGAGCGCTTTGGTGATATGGTTTTATTGGTAAGCTCCGAAGTGATAGTCTTTTGCTGATGGGTTTTTCTAGTAAACCCAAGGCTCAGCATCAAGTTTCCTTGCAGATCAAGGAGTGGGCAAAAGCTCAAAACATTAATGATCCAAAAAGTGGGACCCTGAACTCCTATTCGCTTTGCCTACTTGTTCTCTTTCATTTTCAGGTAATACTTCTTACTTTGGAAGTTATGTCCAATTATCTTATTTATTGTTTCAGTAATATTTTTTGCTTACCTATCTGATGCTAAATTTTGAGACATGTGAGCCGGCAATTCTACCACCTTTGGAGGACATTTATGAAGGGAATATCACAGAAGATTTTGCAGGTTCAGTGAACTCATATTTTCTCTGATGGTTGTCTTGCGTACTAGTTCCTGGTAACTTACTCATTACAGTCACATGTAGACATGACGCTTTATAATGAGGAACGTCTTGATGAGGTTTGTGCTGCAAATATAGCAAAATTTCAAAGCCAGAACAAGGAACAAAGAAATGAAAGCTCTCTATGTGATCTCCTTGCAACCTTTTTTCACAAGGTAACTGAGCATTGTGCCCTCACTATCTTCGCTAAGCCAACCATCTCTCTGACTATCTTAATTGTACTCTTATTATTTGTAGTTAACATCTTCATAAAACAGGCTACTTGTGTTTTCAGGAAATTTCCTTTTGTCTTGGTTACGGTCATTTAATTTCCTGGTACACTTTTAGGCCATATTTTAATTAGTTGAGTTTCCCATTCCCTGATTTTGAAATGCACCTTCAGTTTGTTGATACTTCAACTAATTGATCATTTGCTGGACGAGTATGTGCAATGGAATTTGGTATGGATAAATTTTTGATACCAAAAGGACACAACCATTCTCATATCAAAAGGCATTCTGCATTTCCTCATTTTTACCTCAAGAAACAAGCCTAACTGGTGGTCTTATATTGTTTGCAGTTTTGCCACATTGACTCCCTTTCGAGTGATGTGATATCTACCTACACGGGTCAGTTTAAGAAGATTCAGGACATTCCAATTCGGCGGAAGAAACCCTATAGCTTGTTTGTAAGGCCAATATCCTGTGCATTTTGCTGCTGATATAATTGAGAAATTACCCTACATACTGACATGATATCTGTTTGTTACTCTTGTTTAGGTCGAAGATCCAGTTGAGAGACCTGATAATGCTGCTAGAGCGGTTGGTGAGAGAGGGCTCCTCCTAATTGCTAGTGCCTTCAGTGATGCTAGGAGCAAGGTAGCTTCTCTCGAGCATACTGACCGAAACGACTTACTGGCAATGTTGTCCACACCTGGTGTTTGCTCAAAACTTGGCGGAAGAGTCATCACTAACAATTATACAAATACCCCGCTAAGGACTCGACAGCATGTAAACAACGTGGGAGCTAAGGTATCTAATAATCAACGTCGCCCCAGAGTGAAAGCATTTACAGGTAGCAGACCAGTCCAGAATCCTACTCAGGCGAACACTGTCCAGAATCCTACTCAGATGAACACTGATACTGCAGGGCGGCAAACGCCAGGACACCACCGAAATCATGACCTTCCTCAGGTTTATGCTAACGCCGCAGTTCATCAGCCATCAAGACAGCCAGGGCTATACACAAACCATTATACCCCATCGGCATATACTCCGGGCCGCCAAACATCAGGATCATACCCGAGTCAGAGTCATCCACAGGCACACACTACATGGGGCCCGTCAGGGGTACCATACGAGAATCATGATCATCAACCGGCGTATTCCCCAATGTACCAAGCAGCAAGGCCGTACTACTATCCGGGTCAACAGCAGCCTCATACAAGCGGGTTCCAAACACCAGGATCATACCAGTACGAGTATCAGAGTCAGTCGCCTGTTCATACAGGCGGGATCCAAAGGCCAGGACCATACAACTATCATAGTCAACCGCAGGGTCATACAACTGGGGTCCACATGCCAAGACAATACCAGAATGGATATTACAATCAGCCGGCGTATACTGCAGGCCAAGGATCACACCAGAACTGGCGGGGGCCGCAATACACACCCGACCATCAGACTAATAGGTACAATAGGAATGGGATGACTACAAGGTACGAGCCTGTTGCTGGAGGGCTCCAGAATGGACCGGCACGGGCACGGGACTCGCGGTCGCAAGCCTCCTCAAGCCGTACGGAATGGCGAGGAAGCAGCCAACATCAGACCTGACCGGAACTGTTAGTCACAGCAAAGATAGCAATTTGCTGTTTCCATTGGCTGATAAAATGTATTGGTTTCGATTTCATGGTGTATGTAATCCTTCATACTTCAGTTTGTCGCGGAATGGCGAGGAAGCAGCCAACATCAGACCTGACCGGAACTGTTAGTCACAGCAAAGATAGCAATTTGCTGTTTCCATTGGCTGATAAAATGTATTGGTTTCGATTTCATGGTGTATGTAATCCTTCATACTTCAGTTTGTCGCGGAGGCAACGTAACGATTTCCACTAGAAAGATTTTGTGCAGAATGTTTCGCTGGTGTAATGTCACTTGAGATGCCAAACCTTGCGTTTCCCTCGTCCCTGATGATGACTAGAGTGTTGTTGCCTTTATCCACTGAACTTTGCTCCACATGTATTCCCCTTGTGCTGCATCTTCTCTTTTAGAGCAGTGAATGCAGTTTTCTAAGAAAAATGCTACTACATATCACTGTTTTTTCCTTGAGCATTTTGCCCTCGGTCCTCATTCCCTCGACTATTGTACTGAGCCGTACGTTCTTTTGGGTGGTACGTGATGGTCATGACTTTTGGGTGGTACGTGATGGTCATGACCAAGGAGCAATGAAAGAGAGAAGAAATAGAATCAAAAGGAAAATGGGGCAATCTTTGCCTTTCTTTTTGTGGAAAACACTTCTGATCTGTTCATCAAACATCATGGCAAACGCCTGAGAGTCCTGAGAGTCTTTTTTTTCTTTCTCGACAAGGGGTAGTGCTTGGTACACCGTACACAGGCGTATGCCCGAGCACTAGCTTTTTACTGTTTTGTTTTTGAAGAGTTGACGAGAAGAAAAAAGGTATGCATGGAATCAAATTTCACGAAAATTGCATACACAGTTATGAATATCATTTGATTATCATCTTATCTTTAGCTCAGGCTTGTTTAGATCCCCTTGGAGAAATTTATGAAAGATTGAGGGAGAGCGACACGGTGCGGGGCGGGACCATGCTGCACGAATGAAACTTTATGATAATTTATGGAACTTTATGAAAATCATAATATTGACTATGAATGAAATTTTATGGCACACGACCGTGTCGCTCTCCATCTTCGTGGACTCTGGTCTACAAAGATTCACCGCTTCGACTCCAACACGCGGTGGTCTCTCGCCCCTCCTCCGCCCAGTCCGTCTCCCGCTCCCGCCGCCACCTCCTCGACCGCAACCGCCGACGGCTCGTCGCCTCAGAAGACTCCCGGCCTGTCCAGCCGCAACTTCCTCTAGGTAATTACAAGTCCATGGCCTCTCCTGTTTGTCGCTTCGTCCGCTGGTGGGTTTCGTTGATCGCGGAGTTAATTAGGGTTCACCTGCCGCCGCCCACCGTGCCGTCGTTCGACGGCCAAAATATGGCACCGCGCTGTTCTTACTTTTGTAACAAGATTTTGGCGTCTATGCATAGTTGCTTGCCGCGCGATTTGCGTGCCCTGCTTGGAACTTTGATACCACGTGTGGTGCGTCGGCGAAATTGTAGACGGGGTTTCCATCACTGGGGAATTGTGGTATTTAGTATTTTTGGTTTGGATCTGAAGTTCTGAACTGCTATCATTCATAATAACCTATGCACACACGTTGATGGAGATGGAAGAGGTAGCGAATGCCGACAAAATTTGCCATAGCTACAAGAAAAGTTTTAAAAATCACTAGGTGTTAATAATTGCGCTCTTTGCCACCGCCTTGCGCTTTTCTGGCTGACTAAAGCGCGCGCATGCTTAAGCACAATTATGGCCACATTAAGCACAACTAAGAGCTAGGTGTTTGCTATCGCCTAGAGCCTTAGGCCTGCTTAAGCAGGCACACCTTTTTAACTATGCCTGCAAGTTTCTCTGCAAGTTATCAGTTTGTCTGGCTTTTTCTCAGTATGTTTTTTCCGGTCAAGAACATTTAATAAACATGGGAATACATGATTGAGAAGTTAGCTACTCCCTCTGTAAACTAATATAAGAGCGTTTAGATTACTAAAGTAGTGATCTAAACACTCTTATATTAGTTTATAGAGGGAGTACATGGCATCGTATGTACATATGAAAACCAGCGCAGCCATCTCCTTGTAACTTGCAGTTCGAATTTTCTTAAGTGGTAGATTTAGAAGCAGAAGAAGGCTTGCTTCTTTAATGTCAATAGCCAGATATCCAATGCTTGATGCTCACCATCCAAACCGAGGCACGTGTGCGTGAGGCACAACTGCCCTAAAGGGCAACTACAATGCCGTTTTGGACTGTCAGTGTCGGTGTTGCCTACCTTGACTATTTATTGTACATATACTAGTTGAATGCCCGCGCGTTGCCACGGGACAACGAACATTGACATAGAGACATTGATTTCAAATATTATTGAAATTTACATTGTGTATGTCATATGCAGCTTATGACTTTGTTGGGATATATATCGTCTTGGAGAATGTCCTCACTGCTTCCACTGCCAAAGATGGATTTCTTGTCTCCATGCTCTCATGTCATTGCTAATCTTGTGGGCATGGTGAGCTCCCATTTATTTTCCCTTTTTAGCCCTCTCTGTCATGCCCACCTGCCCGGTCATGTCTAGCAGCGTCCACTGCAGAGCCATATTTCTTGGTCCCCCGGAATCCTCGCGCCATGCAAATTGTTGCAACCTTGCTCATGCGTGGTTTCCCGCCCATGTCTAGGTTTTCCTAGACGACCATGTGCTTGTTTTTTAGTTGCACCATCGTGTCACGCTTGTCATCGGTGTTCAACAACGACCTGATTATGAAATAGATTAGTTGTCAACATGAAATTTGCCACCGCAACTTAACAATCACCAACTTCTTTGTATCTTCTCCCTTGTGACCCAATCACTGAGTTAATGTTTCATCTTTGTCACGTGTCGTTTTTTCCATCCTTGTCCATGCAGGAATAGGGAAAGTATAAGGTGCTCCCGTAGCCTGCATGAATGGGAGCAGATGGAGAGTTGGATGTGAGATCCAACGGTTAGCTTCAAAGGATGAGGACCTCAATGCAATACAATGACTATTTGAGGGGGGGTTTTGTGCAATGTTTCACGAGCTTTCTCCACATCGTTGGATCTGACATCCAACGTTCCAAGTGCTCTCGTTGAATGGGAGCATATGTTCTATGGGAGCACACGCCATTTTCCCTGCAGCAATAGCCTTGGCTCCACCAACATAACACCATTACATGCTCTCTCTTTTGCTTCATTACCCTTGGCTCCGGATTTACAAATCGTGGAAACAAAACATGATGCATTAAGCGGCTCTACATAATCACGGGGGACATGCTTCATCTCTTAAAAGACCTTGTTTCACCTCTAATTATTCCCCCTAGCTTCTTTCATGTAATTATTATTAATTTCTTCCTAGCCTTTTCTATCTTTTTTTACTCCTAATGTATTTCCTGTCCTAATCACGGGGGACATGCTTCATCTCTTAAAAGACCTTGTTTCACCTCTAATTATTCCCCTAGATTCTTTTATGTAATTATTATTAATTTCTTCCTAGCCTTTTCTATCTTTTTTTTACTCCTAATGTATTTCCTGTCATATTCGCCCTGGTTCACGCATGAGTGATATCTTCTAGATCTGATGGCCAAAACATTAGAGTATCAATGATCTCTCCCTAAGTCTGAATGGCAAAAACAACAGTGGACGCATGAAGAGCATGGGTATGTAGGTCAGTCGTCTGGTTAAGAGGCCAAATATTTATGTATTATTCTGCTCTTGATGCTCGTAAGTCATAGTCTTGTCTTTGCAAAAGCTGTGAAAGCTGATGACATGTTATCATTTGTGGGATGCTATATATTACTCCCTCCGTCCCATTATATAAGAACATTTTTTATACCAGAAAGAGTAGTTTATAATTTAGTTAATCATAACAAAAAAATAAACTTCGCTAGTAATGTATTGTTCTATTTGGAGATTTGGGCAAAGTGCGTCCAATGTCACTTTGGCAACCACGATTTGGGCAAAGTGTGTTCTATGCCACTTCGGCAACCAAAACCTTCAGTTTTTTGGGGACACCACACCCTTTTAATACAAAATCGGTCCATTCCTTTCTAAAGAAAAGGTATTGTATCATCTTCTGCATAGTTTTCTCAAATTCCAAATTAAAATCAGATATGAACACTTGTGCATATCCAATTTTGCATTTGTCTTTAGATAGTAAATAAACACTATCTTTCATTTGAACCATGAATAAATCTAATCTGTTCAATCTAAATGTAGCACCAGATTGGTCAAGTTCAGTCAGCATATCCTCTTTTCATGCTAGAATCTCAAACGTTGGACTCTTTATACATGGTTTTTTTCACCCGGCCGAAAGCATATAGATATCCAATACAACCTTCCCAAAAACGACATCACCTCCAAGACGGTCGCACCAGCCTTTGTACAGACTCACAATAGCAGGTAGCACTGCTGCTGCTAGAAATATGTGCATCACAATCACCCATATACAATTGTAAGAAAAGGCATTCGGAGTATACATCTCTATTTGTTAACGAATACTCTGATGAAGTCACAACAAACATAATGAACCAGTTAGAGAAGATATAAATCAAGGAACAGGTTAATAGTATCGGCACAGGAAATAAATATTATAGAGTTGGAAGACATTATTATGCGTCAGAAGCAATTGAAGCTAAGATTTTTAATTCCGCATACATGCCATGCCAGTATATATATCAGTTTAGAATACCTACAAGGTCTAATTCTAGAGCAAACCTGAAGATCCTCACGGCTGATGTAGTTGGTTATACTAATATAGTCATGCTTTGACCATCTGTAGCATCATGGAGAAAAGGAAAAATAAGCTAAATCCGGTACAATACTTCCAGGCATGAATTTTCTTAAAACAGGTTACCTTAGTACGCAAGATCCAAACTAAACATAGATAACGAGGTATGAGGCTTGATTTTGAATTATACACTGTAAGCAATTATCTATGGAAAGGTACTACAAAAATTTATGTCACAACTCACAACGCATATCTGAACATATTACACACCTAACCTTGTATCGCAATGACAATAGACATAAATGAAATTGTCGATGAGCATGCTTCTTGTATTCAATCTACCGGGACTAAAATGAAAATAAGAAATCATTCATGAATATGCACAGGAATCTAGAAGACATTTGAGTAGTATAAAAGCTCTCTAAGCAAACTTGTATATATGTGCAAACTATGATAATCAAACTAATGTGCAACAGTCTCCCCTCTCTAATTGTCCACAGAACACGCGCACACACACACACACACACACAATAGAAGGAGGAGCACATCACTGATAACCAAAAATCATATATATGAATTGAACAATATATATTTAGCCATTATTAATTGTGCAATCAGGTAATTTCCTAGATTCAGATAACATTCAGAAAAACAGCAGGTGTTAACTCAAGTCAAAGAATCACCTGATAGATGGAGCTACAGTTACAGAGACAAGTATTTGTATATGCACAGTGCATCTCAAGCTAACGAACTTAACAGAGCAACAAATGCTCGTACGAGAGACTTACTTGAGTGCCTCTGTAAGAGACTCGGGAAGCTAGTACTCCTCTTTGTAAGCCGGACCAATCAACAATATGCACTTCTCGGCAGAGAAATAATTTCGACAGGCAGGAACCAACAAGGCAACACAAACAAATGAGTAAACACTTAGTGTGCATCCTATGCCACAGACAGAGTAAGTCGGACAAGCAATCATCACCTTAAGCAAGCCGGGGTCCACGAACAAGGCGTCCAAGATGGCTATCATCACCAGCCTGCAACCGAGATACAGAACGGTGCATCAGTCAACGATGTACATGTGCAGATCACGATAGAAATAGAGCTAAAGCAGAAGATGGGAGTTACGAACAGCCTTACAAGTGCACGCATCTAATCTTGTGGATCTGCGCTGGCATCATCGCATGTACCACAGAGGTCGCCGGTGCAGTAACCTAGGCCGATGCTGCAGGGTTCGTACGTGCCGCAGCTAATGTCGACGTGCATGATGGCTGCGAACTCATCGGTGCAGCCAGTGTGCCACCCTCTCCATTGGATCCCGTGCCGTGCGGGACTCTTGTGAAGGCGTGCCGTCGGCGACCGTGGCCAGGACGCTATCAGGATCAGCGTCGCCATGCTTGGCACCACCGCGCCTCCACTCGGCTCCCAGATCGAGGCCATCGGAGCTCGGGGTGCAGGGGAGAAGACCCACCGCGGGCTGCGGATCCTCCTACACCGGAGACCTCAACCGTGGCAGGAGTTTTGGGGGCTTGGGGCGGCGATCCGGCGATTTTTCTCGGCGGAGAGAGGGGCCGCCGCTGGGTGGTCTTAGACTCGCGGGAGGGAGGGATGCCAGGTAGTTCGGGATTGGGAGAGAGATGGAGATTGGTTCGGGGAGAAGGTGGAGGAAGTGGGTTCTCCCCTGATTTTGCGTCGGTTTGGTGCGTGAGGTTTTCGGCAGATTTTTTCTTTCTGATATTATCGTACAACAGGGGCGAGGAGGTAGTCGAACCATCACGACGACGGTAGATTCCTCTTTAATAGTAGAGATCTTTTCGCTATATCAATCCATCAAGACGCAAGGGAGGGAATTCTTAAGTTGAATTTGGTCATACGTGATTTATAATGTTATATACTCGTTTAACTTACACATTATGTTGTTGTAGGGTTTCAGCATGATTGAGATTGTGCAGGACTTTTATTTAGTGGGGGAGTGCATTGAGGAAGTTCTCTCTGTAATCAAGCCGACGGAGGACGATCGAAACAAACGTCTGGAAACTATTCAAGAGTTTGTGAATTCCATCTATTCAGCTGCTGATTTGGAAGGTAGCTTCTCATTATTTGGTCACCACAAGGTTCTTTTCCACAATTTAAAAACAAAATCCTGATAATATTTATTAAGGGTACAATGATGTGATTGTCTGACATCAAGCTTGGTATTGCTTACTATAGAAGGAAAATGTTTTCCCTTCTTACACATGCTCTACTATGGTCTATGGATGTGCATTCCTAGTAGACTACTTTAACATAGTAAGCCCAATCTTAACAGTTTATTGAGACCACTGACAAGCGACAAGCTTGTAAAATTTATAATCCTTCATGGGATAACTTTGGTTTGTGACAATTGACCGGCAGCTTTTTTCATACCGCCAGTGTTGTAGGCGAGATGCATTGGCTACTCTATGATTTCCATTACGGAAGTTGCTCAGATGAGATACATTTCATTGTTTGTTATTCTTCCCCTAGTCTATCGATGCCTAGTCAGTCGATGCATATGTTACTTAAGTTTCGAGGGAGGTGTTGTGAGGTTATTACTTATTAGTACTACAGTTTCTGAGTGTTGGATTTTCCTTAACAGATGCTTCTGCCAAACCTTTTGGATCCTTCGCATCAAATCTTTATGCAAAATCAGGTGATTTGGATGTATCTGTTGAGCTGTCAAATGACCCGGACTCCTTTACAACCAAGAAAAAGAGGAAAGCCTTGAGAGTCGAAAGAATAAATGCCTTGAGTGAAGTAAGGAGAGTTTTACAAATCAAAAGTAACTTCTTTTTAGAACCATGCATCTGCGTGCAGAATGAAAGATCCTTACTGTAACGTATATGTTGATCAATCTCCGTGGTTGCTTGATTAAATGCAATGCCCTCTGTTGTTGTGCGGCTGTGCTGATTTAGATTTTATGAGGCAAGTTATTTTTTTCTCGTTCAAATTATGTTTTCATACTTCATTCAGGTGTTGCTAGGGATGTGCAGTTCATTCCTACTGCAAGGGTTCCAGTTCTTAGTTATGTGAGCAACAAATTTGGCATTTCCTGTGATATATCCATCGATAACTACCGTGGCCGAATTAAATCCAGAGTGCTGTACTGGCTCAATACTCTAGATAAGCGCTTTGGTGATATGGTTTTGTTGGTAAGCTCTATGTATCCATTTTCTTCAATTTTCTGTTTCCACGAATTCTTAGTTAAGCCCAGGGCTCAGCATCACATTCCCTTGCAGGTCAAGGAATGGGCAAAAGCTCAAAACATTAATGATCCAAAAAAGGGAACCCTGAGCTCGTATTCGCTTTGCTTACTTGTCATCTTTTATTTCCAGGTGTTTATTTTTTCCCTAATTCTTATTTGTAGTTTTGCCAAAATGGAACCCAGAAATCCTATTTCTCACGCAATTTAACTATATTTTGCAGACTTGTACGCCTGCAATTTTTCCACCTATGAACAAGTTTTTTGATGTGGAGGATCCAGCAGGTGAGATGAAATTGGCTTGTTTGTGAGACTGACGATGACGATTGTGTGGTGTATTGTGTAATAGTGTTGGTAATTTACTCGTCGCGTTCACATGCAGGAATGAGGTTTATTGATGAAAAACATGTTGATGAGGTCTGTGCAGCAAATATAAAAAAATTTCAACTCCAGAACATAGGGCAAAGAAATCATAAGTCTCTTTGCGCTCTCCTTGTAGGATTTTTTTCAAAGGTAATTGAACTTATTTTTCACTATTTTGTCTACATGAGCCTTTCCTCTGAGGCTCCGACTACCTAAATTCTAGACACTAAATGTGTTATTCGTGTTTCTAAGTGCGTTTTATTCTATTTATGTCATAGCCATTAGCAGACATTTTCAGGCCTTCTTTTTGTCTATCTTGCAATCTTCATTATCATATCATAATAAAGTTAGCATAGTGGGTGGTAATGAGTTCAGATTTCTAGCCAGAGAGAAGCTCAGCAAGGCCATAAATGACTGACTATATGAGAGGGGTAGGTTTGTAGGTGTCTCAAGTTAGTTTGTGATCCTTACAGGGGTTATAACTTGTAGGTCCAGTTTGAGACTTTGAGTCCACCCATATAGATTCACCTTTCTGGATTATTTGGACTGTAAATGAGTTAATAGCTTCACCTAACATCGATTATGCCAAAAGGAACATAACATAACATAACATCGATTATGCCAAAAGGAATCTTACTAGCATTATCATAACCTTGAGATTAAGAAAATCTTATCAGGCAAGCTTATACTCTGTTTGCAGTTTTGCGGGATGGTCCCTAGCGTTGTATCCACTTACACTGGTCAGCCCAAACGAACCAATGACAAGATGAAATCTTACCGCTGGTTTGTAAGTATTTTCTTCACAGTGCATTTGGTGGCTATGTTGGTGGAAATTTTAGCCTCAAGTTGAAGATCTGTATATGCTTGTTCTTTTCGGTTTAGGTTGAAGATCCATTTGATAGATCTGATAATGCAGCTAGAACAGTTGATGCACTACAGCTTGGGCGTATTGCCAATGCCTTCACAAACGCTGCTGCCGTAACCTTCTACTCTTATGATCCCGACGACCGGAATGAATTACTTACGCTGCTGTGTACACCTGAAGTTCGTTCAAAACTAGGTGCAAGACTTTCAACCAGTCCTCAACAAGGCGAAGTCACAGGAGCTCTGGAACTTGTGGCAGCTACCCCACACGATAATCATTATTGCCAGAGGTCCACAGGATCCAAAAAAAGCGGAGTAATTCATAGGCCACATGGGCACTGCGGTGTGGGCGCAGATTGTGCGTAATAAGTACCTTCATTCCAAAATTTTGTCACAGGTGACAGTGAGGCCGACGGACTCACCTTTTTGGAAAGGGCTGATGAGAGTTAAATCAGTTTTTTTCAACAGAACAAAGTTTCTAGTCGGAAACGGTACTTCCACGGAATTCTGGGAGGATACATGGCTAGCCAGGGGAAACCCCTCTCGCGCTTCAATATCCCTCCCTTTATAGCATTGTGCAACGAAGAGACACTTTCGTTGCTACCGTGCTTCAGTCCACTCCCCTCAATATCCACTTTAGGAGAACACTTGCCGGAGCCCGTTGGGAAGCCTGGCTCCATTTGGTGAGAAGACTGATGGATGTGCATCTCTCTCAACAGCCAGACATGTTGTGCTGGAAGTTAACCAGGAATGGAGAGTTCATGGTTAAATCTATGTATTTAGATGTGATCAACTCTAGTTCTATACCTAGTTCCAAACATGTTTGGAATGTCAAGGTACCGTTGAGAGTTAAAGTGTTCATGTGGTTTGTACACAAACAAGTCATTTTAACTAAGAACAATTTGACAAAGCGCAACTGGACTGGTTCTACGAGATGTAGTTTTTGTGATCGTGATGAGACTATCAAACACCTCTTTCTTGACTGTTCGATGGCAAAGGTTCTATGATGGACTGTTCACATTGCGTTTAATATTACTCTTCCGAATAATATCAACACGTTATTTGGGACGTGGCTTAACGGGATAGAGTCCCAAACAGCGAGACACATTCGTGTAGAAGTATGTGCTTTACTTTGGGGAGTCTGGAACTGCAGGAATGATTTGGTTTTTAACAGAACAACACAAACTCATTTTTTGCAGGTTATCTTCCAAGCCACTACGTTGATCCGTATGTGGTCGCTACTCACTCAGACGGAGGCCAGGGAGCATTTGGTTACTGGATCTTCCCGATGGGAGATGGTAGCTCGGGCTATTTTCAGTCGGTTTGGATGTCGGTCATGTAATAGGATAGACAATTGGTTTTCCTATCTATCTTTTGCCTGCGGGTTGTGACTTTTATTTTCTGCTCTTCGTGAGCCTTTTTGTGGTTCGTTTGTTTAAGACCTCATGACCTTTGTTGAACTTATTTGCTTTCTAATAAAGGTAATCGTATGCATCATTCTGATGGGTTACACCCCTTTTCCCAAAAAATGGGCACTGCAGTGTCGTTTCTCTCTTGGGAGCATTGTTCGTGGAGCAGCGTTGGAAGTCAGAGGCAGGAGGTGGAGCGGCTCCGTCTTGCACGGAGCTTCAGTGGAGATGTCAAGTCATGCCTGACTGGCAGGTGCTACGCTTGGTCTTGCCTGGTCGGCAGGTGCTATGCACGACAGATCCTCCAAGGACTTCAAGCTGTGTCGGCTGGTGATACTTGGCAGCATGGCGCTGAGGTGTATCAGTGGCGACCGCGACGTGTTCAGTTGTTTGCGTGCAGGGAGGAGGTGCCGTTGGGCGTCGTGGTGGCGTCGATGATAGCTGGACCAAGCAAGGTTGATGCATCAGTACAGTTCTGAAGATGAATCGGTGGCAGTTGGCGGCAGCGGCCTCTGAGAGCACGCTGGACCAGCGTGTGCCCCAGACCCAGCAAGTGGCTAGGTTGGGATCTCAGGTCTTAGATGTTAGGCTTGACTGCGATGTCTGTTTGGTATTAGGCACACGCTATATGCGCCCCTTCATCAACTGGATAGGTGTAGCGACTGTTTGTTGCTTAGACGACGACTTTAGTCTTACTGTTGTATTGATTTTGTAAAGTCTTGTGAGAAAAATTAATAAAGTGGTCGTATGCATCGTCCGGATGCAGAGGCCGGGGATCATCCTCCCTTTCTAAAAAGAAAAAAACATGGGTAACAACAAGTCAAGCAGGTCAGAAATGAGCATAACGCATCTACATATAAAATCTCCACAAGCAGAACTCACGCGCAGATCTTTGGAACATCCCTATCATCTTAAGCTTCCCCAATCAGTACATGTAACAGATAGTCCCAAGACATCTTTTGATCAACAGTCGTGGACCAACTATGTTTAGTTTTTTTCTTTTGTGGGGTAAAAAAAAACTATGTTTAGCTAGCCTTTGCCTTATGGTCTGCGTCAATTTATATTACTTAACGTAGTACTTAGCCGGCTCATGTACTTAAGCCCGTGGTTTATGTGGATTTTAGGATCCAAAACTTGTTCTGGTTCACTGAACTTTGCACGACTCATAAAACTTGTCGTATATTCCCTTTACAGTTTATAGTCACCAACTCAATTGAAAAATGCCCATTTGCTACACACAAGTTGACAAAACAAGCACCCCAGGTCATGGTCGACCTAGATCGGGCCAATTTCATAGTTGGTGTGTTGACGCGGTTGAAATGTTTGCAAAACATCCTCTCATTGTCCTGTGTAGAATTCCATAAAAAAATTCAACCCAATGGTTCACACTATAAAATTTCTTTACAGGAGCTTATTGACAGATCGATCGTGTGAGTGGGTCTCACATACTTAACTTTTGTAGAACTTCGGGTATTTAAATTTTCATCCTTGTGTTAGAGAGGGTGTATGCAGAGAACTGGACATTTTCATAGAAGGTCTTGTAGACACTTACTTGGGACTTCCTACCATGGTTCTATCATCTTGTTTGTGTGAGTGATTTTTTCCATCATCTTGTTGACAAAGTCTGTCAGCGACTGAAAGGATGAAAAGAAAAAAAACGTCTTTATGCAAGGTACACAGATTTTGGTGAAATTGGTAGCTCAATCAATTCCTTCCTATGCCATGTCAGTTTTTATATTGCCAAAGGAAACTTGCAAGCCAATTACCAATGAAATTGTTAGTTTTTGGTGGGGAGATAACCAGGAGAAAAGAAGATGCACTAGTTTGCATGGTGGAAGATGTTTGTTTCGAAGAATAAAGCTGGATCTTGGCGACGGATGCGGCTGGATGGACGGATGCAGGGCGGTGGGGCTGTTTGGCGCCGTGGCGGCGTCCATGGCAGGCCTGGCAAGGTCGATGCACCAATATCTTCTCTGAAGATGGATCGATGGAATACGGCGGCGACGCCCCATGAGCAGTGTGCATCGAACTGGTCTGTGTCCCAGACCTGGTATTTGGCTGGGCTGGGGCCTCCGGTTTTAGATGTTAGGCTTAGGTGAGAGATCTGGGTATCTGGCTCACTATTTCTGCACCCTTCATCAAGTGAATAGAAGTAGCGACAGATGTTGCCAAGATGGCGGATCCAGACATATTGATGTACTGCTTTGTAAGATCTTCGTGAATAATTAATAAAATGGCCGCGTACATCTTCCAGATGCAGAGGCCGGGGGTCATCCTCCTCTAAAAAAATATGGAGATTGCTAAAAAGCTGAAAAGATTGTTGACTAGAACAGACAGTGTATTATTCTTTGGTGTTTAATATATTTAAGTTGTATATATAGATTATTGATCCTTTAAACTGTGTAGTATCATCATTATGTGGGAAAATACATGGATGACTTGCGATGAAAGATGGAAGGCCAAAAGATCAATTATAGTTGGGTTTCCACCAGAACTATTTAACTAGGCTGGCATCATTCAGATAAATGTATATCTGATCTTCAGGGCCATCACAATGATGGTGCAAGCTAGCACTAGCCGGAAGAACCTATGGGGTCATTACTAATTTTTAATTACTTTTTTATAATGTACAGTAAATGAACAATAATTTTAGTATGTTTTTTTTTTGAAAAGTTGGGGGCTCCATACAATAATTTTTCTGTTTTCCTCTTTCTTGTTTTCAATTTCATGACAATTTTTTCTTGAACACAGTACAATCGAAGTCGCTCACATATTCTTATCTCTATAAACATACGCACGCACACCCTACCCATGACTATATTTTTAAAGTGTATTTCTCGTTGCAACGCACATGCAATTTTCCTAGTCAATATGAAAGAGCCAACCAGATTCGCCGGTCACCATCTTGACACCATTGGATGTTGGACTATCTACCGGCCTCTCTCATCATCAGCGAGCGTGGCTGCATGTTGTGAGCGTCGAATTGGTCAGTGTCTAGCATCGTCAGAGGACGTGTGGAGGTTTATCTCCAGCGGATCTTGCCGGATTCAGTCGGCGTTTGTCTTCGGTGGATCCACGTGGATCTTGTCTTCATTCGCCTGTGTTCATGTGTCCACATGTTGGATCCTTCTGATCTACATTATTCTTCATCGGCGACAGATGTTGTTTTGGTGCGCTGGTCCTACGGGGCATTAGCATGATGACTTCTCGACTGTCTACTACAATAAGGTTTGCCTGGCTTCGATGAGAGAGGGGCGGAGACGGCGGCGCGTCGTCGGCTCGCTCCAGTGCTAATAGTCGTCGCTAGATGGTCTACGGACCTAGATGTATTTTTTACTTCTAGTGTTTTTTATACTAACTTGACAGTTGATGAGTAGTTCAGAAGTTATTCTCGTAAAAAAAAAACCGGTGTCTAATCGGAGCTCGGGACATCAAGCGTTGCTAGACGGCGCCGGCGCACATACACTCTTGGCTTGATCCCAGCTGAGACACGCAAGTATATAAAAGATACGGCCGGCGTTGGAGGCAGACTAGAAGATCGTTTCCATCCAAGGTTAGCTAGCTTCCGATCGGCCGGAAACACATGCAATCATGCATGCTACAACCTGGGTCAATCGATTTCATTGATCAGCTTGGTGATGCTTTTGTGAGGGACAAGACACCAGCCTCTGGCTTCGACATGCTCTCATTGCACTTCAAGCAGCCGTGCAAATTCAGACTACAACTTTTGTTTACTCATCTTGTATTGATTGGCATAAACCTTTTGAAATTCCTCTTCATGCACGTTGCTGCGAAATTCTAGACATTGAATGTGCTATTCATGTTTCTAAGTATACATTTTATTCAAGTTTTCTCGTAGCCATTAGCTACCATTTTTAGGCCTTCCTGTCTATCTCTGAATCTTCATTATCATAACATAATAAAGTTAGCATAGTGGAAAATGAGTTTAGATTTCTA